GGTTAGATGTGTGGCACTGAATTTGTAATGTGTAATCTGAATTTTGCTTGATAGCTTGTAATATATGTTTTTTTTTTCTTCCCACAAAGTCTGACTCTCAAAGAGAACTACAGCAGCAGCAGGACACTGAGGTAAGTAGAAATTCTTACTATATAGTTGGGTGGGCATCTGGTTTGCAGGGGATGAAGAGTGGCAAATTGGCTTGGATTATCTCACTCTTCAGAAACTCTGGGTCAATCCGTTCATATTTGTGTTTTTAAAAATATATGCATGTATGCTAAGTTACTTCAGTCATGTCCAACTCTTTGAGACCCTATAGACTGTAGCCCACCAGGCTCCTCTGTCCATGGGATTCTCCAGGCAAGAATACTGGAGTGAGTTGCCATGCTTTCCTCCAGGGGATCTTCCTGACCCAGGGATCGAACCCTAACCTGCATCTTTTATGTCTTCTGCATTGGCAGGTGGTTCTTTACCACTAGCACCACCTGGGAAGCCCTATAATAATTTTTATGTATATTTAGAGCAGTTTTAGGTCTCTAGCACAATTGAGCAGAAATTTACTTAACTGACCCCATACATTCTCAGCCCCCTCTGCGGTCAACATCTACTAATTGTGGTGTTGCAGTTGTGAACCTACACTGTTGTTGTTTAGTCACTCAGTCGTGTCTGATTCTTTTGCAACCCCATGGACGGTAGCTTGCCAGGCTCCTCTGTCCTTGGAATTTCCAGGCAAGAATACTGGAGTGGGTTGCTACTCCCTTCTCAAAAGGATCTTCCCAACCCAGGGACTGAACCCAGGTCTCCCACATTGCAGGCATATTCTTTACCACTGAGCCACCTGGGGTGCTGCATAGTGAACAGACACTGACACATTATAATCATCACCTAAAGCCTATGGTTTCCATTCAGCTTCACTCTTGGTGTCACAGGTGCTTATGCTTTTTAACCTGCTATCACAAACATGATGTTCTGTACCAAGTAGTAAGAGGGTGAACACCTGTGCACAGAGTGTCCAGCAAATGGTTGAGTATCTCATATTTAAGACATTCAGAGAACTAAATTCAATTCTTGAATTTGACCTGATTTTGATTCCTGGGTTGGGAAGATCCCCTGGAGAAGGGAATGGCAACCTACTCCAGTATTCTTGCCTAGAGAATCCCATGGACAGAGGAGCTTGACTGACTATAGTCCATGGGGTCACAAAGAGTTATACATGACTGATATAGTTCATAATACTTCAGAGAACTGAAGCATATGTATTCCTATACACACACACACACATATACATATTTCCTTTTTAAAATTGAAGTATGGTTGATACACAGTATTAAAAAGTTAACAGGTGTAAGACAGTGACTCACAATGAAAAGTTATATTCCATTTATCTTTATAAAATATTGGCTCTGTTTCCTGAGTTGTACAGGAATATATTTATTGACAATCAGTGGCCATTACAAGATGAAAATCTAGCATTCTTTGGCAGCCATCCATTTTAGTTTGTTTTTTCCCCCAAAGTTTTTTGGTTTTGACATTTTTTTAGTGTTCTGTATTCCAAAGGTTGTTCTAATAGCCAATATTACATTTGTGGTTTGTTAATATCACTTGGGTGTAGAAGTAATTTATTATTTCAAATTATTAGCCAGTTAATCCATCTCATTCTTTTTTCCAGATTCAATCAAGAATGAGAAGATTCCAGTGTACCTGTAGTTATTGCCAGTTTAAGAGAAATCCTTCTGATGATAATTATGAGAATTATTATAACACAACATACAGTAATTATGCCATGGAATCAAATGAGTCATAAACCTATTCTTGTACTGTTTTCTTGCTGGTAATTTTAGGATCATTATGAAGCAGCTTGGGAAAGATTGTACCAATATTTTGATAATGTATATTTTAAGTTTGTCTTTTTTACTTGCATCTCTTTTCTACCTTAATACAGTTAACTTATGAGGAATCTATATGTAGCTTGGATTTGAGATGATTTGAATATACACTAGTTCCACTTTGATCTGACACCAAGAAGTACTACTTAAGTCTCAGGTATTGCCTGTTTCTTAAACCTGAAGTTTGCTATAAGATGAAACTCAATATCAAGAATTTGAAACAAATTAACTTGGGAAGGGATGTAAAGATAACATTGGCTGGCTTGGCCAGAGCCTTATTAGTGTGTTAAATAGTAATAAAAGTTTTTGATGCGCTGTTTCAGTTTTCAGTAGCGAATAGATGTGTTTATAGAAGATCTTAATAAAACTTCATACTTATTTGAGTAACTCTAAGATAAATCCTTGTTCTTATCTTAGACTTGTTTTTGCTAGCTATGTATTAAATAAATAATACTTACCTCCATCACGTTCTCAGGATGTAAATATATCTGGTATTCTAATTTTTTCTCTTTTTTTGGCATTCTAATATTTTGTGATACTGTCCTATTGGGAAGAAAGTTTACACATTTGAGTTAAGGTTACAAAACAGGTGGATACATACAAAACAGGTGGATACATACAAACAGGTGTTTGTACATAGTATCCTCTTGAAAGAAGTTAACCAGATGGTGTTGTAAAAAGATATTAAAGAATTAGGGGTGCTTCCCTGGTGGTTCAGTGGTAAAGAATCCACCTGCCAATGCAGATGAACAATGTACATGGGTTTGATTCCTGGTCCGGAAGATCTTACATACCTTGGAGCAACTAAAGCCTGTGTGGCATACTATGGACCCTGTGCTCTAGAGCCCGCACCCTAGAGCCCATGTTCTGAAACAAGAGAGGCCACCGCCATGAGAAGCATGTACACAGAAACTAGAGAGTAGCTCCCATCAGACAGCCAAAGTATTGGAGTATTGGAGCTTCAGCTTCAGCAGCAGTCTTTTCAGTGAATACCCAGGGATGATTTCCTTTAGGATTGACTGGATGTCTTTGCAGTCCAAGGGCCTCTCCAGAGTCTTCCCCATCACCACAATCCTCTAATTTAGTCCCTCTCTGAAGTACCTAGGCAACAGTATTTGATGCACATTTCCTAAGTTATTTTGCAGATATCAAAGAACCTCGCATCAAATGAAAGATGTTATTACTGGATGACTACAAGCACAGAGCCCCGGGGACCCTGGAGCCTGATTATGTTAATCCCTGTAACACTGTCTGGGACCCCTCTCCTTCACCTGGCATTTTTTTTCCAGACCGCACCTCCTTGCTTACGGAATCTTAGTTCCCTGACTGAGGATTGAACCCAGGTCCTCCACAATGAAGTGTAGAGTCTTAACCAGTGGACCACCAGGGATCTCCCTCACCTGGCTTCTAAAAATGCTCAGGGCTCCACTGGTGGCTCAGTGGTAAAGAATCTGCCTGCCAATGCAGGAGACTCAGGTTTGATTCTTGGTCCAGGAAGATCCCAGATGCCTCAGAGCAACTAAGCCTGTGGGCCATAGCTACTGAGCCTGGGCCCTGAACTGCCAACTACTGAAAAGAGCAAGTGTTTGCTCAGTTGTGTCTGACTCTTTGGGACTCAATGGGCTGTAGCTCTTTAGGCTCCTCTGTCCATGGAATTCTCCAGATAAGAATACTCATTCCCTTCTCCAGGGGATCTTCCTGACCCAGGGATCGAACCCAGTTCTTCTACATTGTAGACAGATCTGAGCCACCAGGGAAGGCCATAACTACTGAGGCCTGAAAGCTCTAGAGCCTGTGCTCCACAACAAAAGAAGTCTGAGCACTGTAATGATGGACAGACTGTGCTCTCTGTAACTAGAGAAAAACCCTCGCAGGAATGAAGATCCAGCACAGAGAAAAATTAAAAAAAAATATTAAAAAAAAAATCTGTTTCTTCTGCTCAGGGATTTTTAGACCATAAGCCACAAATATCCTTGCCTGGTCCTGTAAGAAAACTTTTCTGCTCAAAGCCAATGTTCAGAGTGTGAGTTTAGCTAGTCATATGGGATGGGAAGGATGGGATTCTAATTCTTTTTCAACACTGATAAATAATATAAAGAAGAGCTGTCTCTGAACCTCTTCAGTATCTAAGGAAAATCTTCCCCAAAGGCTAACACCCAATTTTCCAAATTTTCTCAGAAAGGCAGTGGTTCAGAGAAACTACCTACTTATTAATAGTGTCAGGTTGGTGAGCAGACACAGGCATTTTTTTTCCCCCAATTATTTTTATTAGTTGGAGGCTAATTACAATGTAGTGGTTATTGTCATATATTGACATGAATCAGCCATGGATTTACATGTATTCCCCATCCCGATCCCCCCTCCCACCTCCCTCTCCACCTGATCCCTCCGGGTCTTCCCATTGCACCAGGCCCGAGCACTTGTTTCAAGCATCCGACCTAGACTGGTGATCTGTTTCACCCTAGATAATATACATGTTTCGATGCTGTTCTCTTGAAACATCCCACCCTCGCCTTCTCCCACAGAGTCCAAAAGTCTGTTCTGTACATCTGAGACACAGGCATTTTTGAGTATCTTTTTCTTCCTTTATCTTTCTTTTATTAGAGAAGACAGTGTAACCGGAGAAGAGCCTAACAATATGCCCCTGGTCATACACTTGCTCTCCCAGACCACTTTCCATGCCCAATAGGAGCTGTATAAATGGATGGGCTGATTGATGAGTCATGATTTATTTAGAAGATTCTACTTAGGCGAGCTGACCTTCAGCTCCTGCAAAGGAGCCTTGGAGGGCTTGTCTGTGGTTTGAAAGCCATAGAATTATAACCCCTAGTGCACACAGAGGTTTTTCTGTTTGAAAGTTCTAAAAAAGACACAGCACTTTGTTAAAATTAGACAAATCTAATGAAAGATTTTTTTCCCCCAGAACTTCAGAAAAGTCCTTTATTCCTATTAGAAATATTTTGGGATACAGAAATACTTGGGGATATGTGGAAGTATAGAACACAAAAGGGAACAAAACCAGTAACACTGAAACAGTGCCTTCCCACTCTCCTACTTCCCAACACACTGTGAGCTAGAGTGATCAGAACAATGGCTGGGGGTGGGGTGAGCCGTCTACATTGAAGGCGAGTTGTTTTCACAGCTCTGCGGCCTCTTGGTGCCGTGCAAGCATTTGCAGGGCAGAATCCGGACAACATCATTCTGTTTATAGCTTTCTATGCAGACTGCACAATGATCGAAGTCTGGGTCTGTTTCCTTATCACCCCTTTTCAGTGTTCTGGTTGTCAATTTGCTGATGGCTTTCTTGGATGCATCTCCAAGACGCTGGTTCCTGTCCTGGGCACCTGTGTACCTGATCTTCTTAATGAAGCAGAATATAAGCCAGGCTGAAGAAATAATCACCAAAGCAATATAGGTTATTGACACGAAGACTAGAGAACCACGGCTGAAGTTCTTTGGCGGCATTCGAGTTCCAACAGCTATTGTCATTTGTACAGAGATGTTTTTCTCCAGATAACTCAAAATATCTTTACCTCTCAATTCTGTAATCATGACCGCAATAATATCTCCAGTGCCTGGATGAGTCATGGTGACTGGCTCCTCTTTGGATTTATTATTGTAGATGACGACAGCAACTGCATTGTGGAAAGCAGCCCGTGATATTTTCTCTTTAAAGGTGCAATTTCCCCTCTGCAGCAAGGCAATCCACTGTTTGATGTTAGGAGGGACAAAGAACCGTGTTTGAGGATCACAGCCCAGATGATCAGCAACTCCATGGATAGGCAGCGGCGCCAGAACCTGGCCGCGGACCTCGGCCTTGGGCGAGTCGAGTCCGTAGCGCCCGCCGTCGATGCGTAATGTAAGCGGGGCGCCGCGGCCGGGCTCCTGCACCGTCACGTTGATAAGCGCAGTGTAGTACTCCTGGCTCGCGTTGTCCGCTCGCGCCGGCCACAGGCTGCAGGTCAGCAGAGCGAACGCGGGGAGCCGGGCCGGGCCCGCCGGCGCCGAGCCGCTCATCGTCCCTCTGGCCGCCGCCGCTCGTGGACCGGGCTCCCGGGCCGGCGCCGAGAGGAGGGGCGGGTGCGGCTGGCCCTGCAGCCGGAGCGCAGGCGCGCGGCTTGTGCGGGGCCGGGCACGAGCGAAACCCTCCTCGGCGCCGCGGCCCCGCCGCTCGCCACCCTCAGAGCCACGGCCCGCCCGCAGGGACGCGCCCATGGGCGCTTCGGCGAGGACGGCGGGTCAGGGCTCGCGCGGTCGTCTCCTCTGGGTCCCTCCAGGGCCGTGTCGGAGGGCCCACTCCACCCCCTGGCCCGATCCCGCCTAGTGGGGGCGCCTCGTGAGGACGCACCCGGGGAAGATGCGCCCGAAGGAAGGTCTCCGGAGCACCAACTCCTCAACGCCTGGCAGCCTAAAGAAAGACTTTAAAGGTCCGGCACATTAGTGATCTCTGAAATACCCTGGTCAGCTCCTCAAATTCTGGTGACAGTCGTTTGGTTCCTATCCTCCCTTCTCTCCACCTCCCAGCTGCCCCCACCCCTTAGTTACAAGCAGAACACTGATGATGTATTTTCATACAGGCTGGTGGAAAGTGCATGGTGTTACAGGTACTGGTAGCTTCTGTTTGAGGAATCACTACAATACTCCCTGAGATCATTTTATAGATGACCCCACTGATGACAATGAGCTATTTCCAGTGGTAAAAGAAAACCTTGTAGTAGCTTCAGTCTAAGGCCTGAATGAGGAAAGGAGAGATTTAAAAAACAACCACAAAAGAACCCCACTTCATTCATTGCTAAAAGTGCTTCATTTAGTTTCCTGAGAAAACGTCCTGCTTTAGTAATGGAAGACACTGGGTTACTAGGCTCAGGGCAAAATACAAATGAAACCCTGAATACAACTGCTTAATCTTGCTTGACTCTGGGAGGCATCCTTTACAGTTGGAGGTGGGTGGTGCAACTTCTGTCAGCAGAAGTTATTGAACACACAGCATCCCTCACTTGGAAACTTCTGGGGCAAACTCTGGGCTCCACCCCCAACCACTAGGTCAGTGGAGCCCAGTGTCGACTTAAAAAAAAAAACAACCCACAATGTAAGAACTGCGAGTTAAGTTCTATTTGGGGCAATATGAGGACTACAGCCTGGGAGACAACACCTCAGATAACTCTGAGGAACTGCTCCAAAGAGATAGGAAAGTGAAAGGGAAGTCACTCAGTCGTGTCTGACTCTTTGTGACCCCATGGACTGTAGTATACCAGACTTCTCCATCCATGGGATTTTCCAGGCAAGGGTACTGGAGTGGGTTGTTATTTCCTTCTCCAGGAGATCTTCCCATCCCAGGGATTGAACCGGGGTCTCCTGCATTTAGGGAGACGCTTTTACTGTCTGAGCCACCAGGGAAAAGAGACAGGAGGAAGGTCAATATATACATGATTTTGGTGAAGGGAGCGTTTGTGCAATCAAGCACGTATTTTTTTGCAAAAGTTTTCTGCTAGTCTCAGGATTAGTTGTCGCCATAAAGGATTTTAGTGCTTTTCTAGATATGAGGAGATAGAAGAATTGGGCTCATAAAATCAGGTCCTGAAAATATCTATCCGAAGACCATTCATGCCAATTCCTGCCCACCCTCGAGGACAGAGAGCCTAATTTCTGTTCTCCACCCTGAACTCTTTTCAGAGAATGTTAACAATCAGTAGCTTTAGCATCACATGATTTAATCCTCATAGCAGTGGATGGCAAATGCCAACGGCAAGTGCCAATTTATAGCCAACACCAGAAGTCAGTATTTTAATAAGCCCTCCAGGTGACTCTGATGCACTCTGAAGCTTGAGAGCTGCTTTGGATATGCCTGGCAGGGTCTCTGCAGTTTCTCTGAGGCTCCCATGATGCCTTTAAAAGGCATGTGGTCCTGCAAGCATCATTTACATATATTGAGAGGCAATGTCTGTTCCTTTTTTGTTTTTATTTTTTTAATTTTGAATTTATTTATTTTTTTAATTGAAAGATAGTTGCTTTACCGAATTGGGTTGGTTTCTGCCAAACATCAACATGAATCAACCATAGGAATGTCTGTTACTTTTTTCATAGGAAAATTTTTTACTTATGCCAGTCGAACAATTGCACCTCTAATGGTGCAAGAGAAATGCCTCCAGGGACATACGTTAAGAGGGATGCCATTTAATCATGGCCTCACTTCCCAAAGGGTGTCCCTGGTGACTCAGTGAAGAATCCACCTGCAATGCGGGAGACCTGGGTTCCACCCCTGGGTGGGAAAGATCCCCTGGAGGAGAGTATGGCAACCTACTCCTGTATTCTTGCCTTGAGAATCCCCATGGACAGAGTAGCCTGTCCATGGAGGGCTATAGTCCATGGGGTCGCAAAGAGTCAGACATGACTGAGCAACTAAGCACAGCACACAGCACTTCCCAAAACCAACAAAACAGAGATTCCCGGTCCTACTCTATCCCAGCTGCAGAATCCAGGAGGTTCAGGTCTGCTTTAAGCAGTCTTTTTTTTTTTTTTCCAAATAAATGCTTCAGAACATTCTGGTAAAAGTATGGAGGCTAGGAGGGAGAGGCAATCCCTCTGTCTCACTGCCTTCCAAAGGATCCTCGTGAAAGGATTTAACAAGGCTTGATTTCTAAATCTGAGACCTCTAAAAGAGTCCTGTATTTTGTGTTATTACCTCCTCCCCTCTGCAAAGAGTGGGTAATTTGCCCACCCAGTCCTTCCTTGGATGTCACAGCCCTTTCTCAGTTTCCCTTTCCCCAAACAACCATGATCCCCCATCACCCATGGTCTCCAGGGCTAGAGAGAATTTTTTTTTTGAGAGAATGTTTTAAAATGTTAGAGGGATGGGGACTTCCCCTGTGGTCCAGTGGTTAAGGCTCTGCTTTCCCAATTCAGGGGGCCCGGGTTCAATCCCTTGTCAGGGAACTAAGATCCCACACCCTGCAACTACTGAGCCACAACTGGGGAAGACTGAACACAGCAAGGAAGACCCACCCCAGCCTCAATAAAGAAATAAAAGGCTGGAGGGGAAGAAGACTTTCACGGTAACTCATTTCACATGGTTGGAATTTTATTTATTTATATTTTCTTCATTTTAAAAAATATTTCCCAAACTTTCTACAAGGAAAGGAAATACATTTACTTAAAAGGGAATGCAAACTTTATGCTCGAGACATCAATTACAAGCTGGTAGGTGTAAATGCTACCACTCTTAAGAAATCTATACCCGGGAGGGGACAGGTTTTTTTTTTTGCTTCTGAGTGAAAGTACATTTAAAACCACACCATGTTCCTTCCACTATAAAAATAAAAATAGAAACGATGGAAACAAACCCGGCACTTCCATGTGATTGGGACAGGAGGAGTGAAACAGTGATTTATTGGTGTCTCTGGACTCACTGATTCCCATCAGTGTAATTGTTGCTAAATCCTCCTGGGAATAAACTTTGAACTTTCACTTTTGTGATGATTCTGAGGATTTAGTGAGGAACACTGCAGAGACTGCACTGACCCAAAGAGAATACTTTGATACTAGGGTTAGAAATAGATTGAAGTCACAATACTGTGAAAACACTTAGCGCTGCTGAACTGAACACTTAAAGTTAGTCAAACTTTAAAGTTAGTTATAGTTAAAATGGCAAATTTTATGTTATATTTTAATTCACAAACACATAATTTTATAAAGAAAAATTTAAGGAAATTCAGGAAATGGCAAGCCAATAAAGAAAATCAACAGAGTTAAAAATTGGTTCTTTAAAAGAACTTATAAAATTGATGAAACTCCAGAAAATTTTTAAATATATATTCTTTTTAAAAGATAAGGCACAAAAAAAAATAAAAGATAAGGCACAAATTCAGCTTTTATGAATAAAAACACATGACAATTCCATTCATTTTGTAAGCTTAAAACATACAAGAGAAGCTCACACAATAGGATAACTATTATCAAAAAGAAAAGATGACAAACGCTGGTGAGGATGCAGAGAAAAGGGACCATGGTACAGTGCTGGTGAGAATAAAAATTGGTACAGCCAGTATAGAAAACAGGTTGGGAGTTCCTCAAAAAATTAAAAATAGAGCTACCATGTAATCTAGTAATTGCGCTTCTAGGTATATTCAGAAGAAATAAAATCAGTGTCTCCAAGAGCTATCTGTACCCCCATGCTCATTGCAGCATTATTCACAACAGCTAAGACATGGAAACAACTTTAATATCCACTGATGGTTGAATGGATAAAGAAAATGTGATACTTGGGACTTCCCTCGTGGTCCAGTGGTTAAGAACTTGCCTCCCAGTGCAGGGGACATGGGTTTGATCCCTCACACCACAACTAGAGAAACACAAGTGCCACAGCAATGACTCAGTGCAGCCAAAAGAAAAAGAAAAAAAAAAAAGATATACACAATGGAATATTATTCAGCCATAAAGAAGAAAGAAATCCTGCCATTTGCAACAATATAGATGAACACTGAGGATATTATGCTAAATGAAATGTCAGAGAAAGACAAATACTGTATAATCTCACTTATATGTGAAATCTAAAAACATTAATAGAAACAGAGTGAAACAGTGTTGCCAAGGGCTAGGTGAGGGGAGGTAGGGAATATGGGATGTTGGTCAAGAATACAAACTTCAAGTTATAAGATGAATAAGTTCCGAGAATCTGATGAACAACATGGTGACTATAGTTAATAACACTCTATTATATACTTGCAGGCTGCTCCACAGGGAGAGTTTACTACTCTTACTGTAACAACAGCAACAAGGGAATTCCCTGGTGGGCTTGGACAGAGTGGTTAGGCTCTGTTTTCTGGCTGCCAAGGGCTTGGGGAAGTTAAGATCCCACAAGTTGTACCAAAAAGTTTTAAAGAAATAAATGGGCTCTCAAAAAAAAGTTAATTATGGAGGTGAAGGATATAACTAATCTTATTATGGAAAACACTTTGCAATATATACATGTATTGAATCATCACACTTTAAACTTACACAATGTTATACCTCAATTCAAT